TTTGTCTTGTGCCCACTCCTTATCGTTATCATCATATTTTGTCAACAGGCCCACCTTCGTCCTCATCGCTTTACATCGGGAGAAAGTTCACCGCGTTCAATTTCCCATGCCATTGATTCTGCATACCGATGACAATATTGCGAGGTTTGAATGCGTGCGTTAGTCTTGGAGGCGCTAGATGTGAATTTTCACTGACAACGCTGCTGATGCTAGTAGATGGAATCTCTCGTTTTGCTTTTAACCTTAGCTATGTCAAAATGGACACATTGGAGGATATATTTAGTTGCATTACGGAGCATAATCGCCAATTTCTGTTAGTTGTAATCTCGTCACTCCTGTTATCAAAGGCATCAACAGTAGCACTAATTCTGCACGTCCTGCGTGCTCTCCACAAATAGACATGGGTAGGCGGAAGCCGTTAGCCTAATCTACTTAAACTCAAGCCAACAACAAGTTGAGACTAAGCTCCACAGCCTGCCAAACATTCGAAAGGTCTACAGTTCACATTAAACTTGCCTGTGCAAGAGGAAAGAGTTTGTAGTTGGCGCCAGAGAATCCAAATTTTTGGCATTTAAGCTCGGATTTAAATGCCTTGGCAACGGTTGAGCAGCAGGGTCTCCTCACATCTGTTGCGTCCTCCTTCAACTGCCGTACTTTTAACCAACGCCGCACTATAATAAGGCTGTTATAAATGTGACGCCCAATTAGAAGTCAGGCGCTTTAAGGCCACCAACCAATCATGAGCCCCTTTGTCAGTAGTGCCTTTGTTTAATGTATCTGATGGCCTTTAGGTTAAGTGGTAACTTTTAATCAGCTTCTCATGCACCCATGTGCTTGGCTACGTAATAAAGTCAAGCCTAATTTTCATACTCAAAAGCGCAACTATATTTGTAGGTGTATCCAATAGTCGAAGTCGAGGAAACTGCCCTTCACCTATTTCTTTGTCTCCGGTCTTTGTGTATGCTAACATGATTGAGAGACCTTAGCTACAGCCATAGCGATTGTCCACGGATCGGTTATTACTAACTTTATTGTTGAATGTAATCGGTGCACAGTACAGTAGGGTGGTTGAGATACGTTAAATGAAAAGGTGGAAGTGTAGGATTGACTTGTTGTTGCATCACTGTAGCAATATACCACCTTACCTAACATCACTGCATTACAACTAACACACGAAAAGAGTCTTCGAATTCTTCACTTTAAGGTTCCGATATTTATCATTTATAGTCTGATAGTCAAATAACACTTTGATGCCGGTTGTCAAGGTCACTGTGATGCTCGTGTTTTGCCAAGCCAATAAAACTAGACGGAGGGATTCGCATTTTCCTTCCCAATGGTAATTATAGGAGTACAGAAACTTTTATTACCAATGTCCAATGTCTTAGCAACCTCGTAGAAGCATAATAGTGATGCAACGCTATGCGATTGCACTGGGTTAGGTCACCTCTCCATGATCCTGTGAGCCTCCATTCTTCTACGCTATCAATCTAGCCGCTTGGTCACCTAGTCCATGACCTCTATGCTTGCATATGCATTTGCAGCCAGTCATCTATGGCGTGTCTAGCGTATGAGTTGAAGTACGTACTCCCACTATAATTATGAAGTTAGGTTTCATTAAACAGCAATTTCTTTCTCTACCCGTGGCTGTGCTGCATCACCCAAGCCCCTCCAAATGCATTGAGTAAGGAAAGTGCTTTTGGAGTTTTTACTTGTCTATAACTGTATACAGTCGACATCAAGCAGAACACTGCGTCCAGCTTCCATTCCCTGCGTAGGAGATGGTGTGCACCACCAGAGTGACTAGTTTGTTGTGAGCAGACTCTGAATGGTTTCATGGTAAGTTGGCATTGTACTGACATTTGCCAGTAGCAACTATCGAATGCAATGGCTTTCTGTAGATCCATTGGTAATGCGTCTTCACAATGCTAACTGCAATTGAACTGCGCCGAAATGCCTTCCCTGGCGTCTAAAATGATGGTAAAGTCACCTTTGGAAAAGAAAGTGGGCCGTCCTTTGTTTGGCTTCACCTCGTCTGTGCAATTCCAATTAACAAAAGTGAGTTAAAGTGTTGCGTTGCAGGGAAAGCATTAAAAAATAATCATCTCAATACTCCATTCGGTCTTCATAAATAGAGCGGGATGAGCTCTCAGTGCTCCCTATCTTCAATCATGACCTGTCCAGTCTTTTGTCCACAGAGTAAGAGGAGGGCAATTAACTTGTCACAAAGCACAGCCTATTCGTACGCTCATTTAAGGAATTGGCCTGTCCACCTCCTGTCATTTACCCTCCTTGCCAGTAAACTCCCATTCCTGGATCGAGCACAATCGGCATATTTGATAAAGATAGGGGAAAATGACTGACAAATAGGAGGTTCATTGGACCATCGGAACTCTCAGTTCAAGCACTTTAACTTCATAAAACCCCAAACCCCCCAACTGTGACGGATGTCATCAATCCTGTAAATATCTTATCTCGAAGCTCAGACTTTGTCGAAGAGCTTTTGTCAGATATAGGCACAAACAGTTGATGGCCTCATGCTTTTGTTTGTTCAAAAGTACCTCAAAATGCGAAACTACATGGTCGGAGACATCACAACACCATCTCGTAGTCTTTCACGCACTATGGATTACAAGTCGGTGATAATGCCGTATGACAAAAAATAAACTTCGGTGAAGCATGTACATTCACCTTCATTCCTTGATTAATTCGACTTATTTCCTCACATTTGGAACCGTTGAAACTACACCGATGTTTTTATTTGCATTCCTATTTTTGCATCTTCTTATCTTTTTCAGTCGTTCCTGTACGAACTTCTGTCCATTTAGGAGCATACATTTTTATCACTTTATCCATCGGTTTCCCAAATCCTTCTTCTATTGAGCACATGTTCATCGTTTTAACAACTGCAGTTATACATTGCCTCAAGTAAATTCTCATTTAGCATTGATAACTAAAGTGGATGACATGCACTACCGTGTCGTGGTGCACAATGCTATCGCGACAGTGAAGCCTCCTCCAAACATCGGTTGAATTGGCATGCCAGGTGTGCTTTGGCCACAAGTGGTGCGACAGAGGGAGGAAGAGAGGGGCAAGAGGGTGTAGACACTAGCATGCCGAAACGCGTTAAGCTCGAGCTCATGTGCACGTGTGCTAGGGAAGTCATCTCTGCAGACCTGATGAATCCAGTCCGCACTGTGGGTCACCCTGCCTGATTTACGACACGTGTGCTCCCGTGTTCACGCACGCACGCACGCACGCACGCACACGCACCAACTGAGGTACCCAGTGGGCTTCCGACTTTGGGGTCAGATGGTCGCGTTGGGACTTGCAGACGTGGTGAGGAGACGCATACTTGACATAGTCTCACCACTGACTCATGTTGGCCTCCTTCATTTTGCACTTCGTTGAGTTGCCTCGCGGTGTTAAGAACTACTAATTTCACTTCATCCACCACTCCTATAAAGAGGGTTGGTGCCGTTAAGAAAAAAAAAACTTTCACATTCTTGATTGGTGATTACTCCGATTGTTGATAGACTTCCTAGTGTGAACAAATTTGATTCAATGTTTAGGTCTACGGTGAAACTCGAGCGTGTCTCGGTGGGGGTAACACTGTGTTAAGAATTTGCTTACAGATACTCAAACTTTCACTCTCTACCCCACTGGGCATCCATACACAGGTAGAAGATGAATAATCAAGTAATAAACGAGAGTTTTCATCTTTTCACCAGTGAAGTGGGTCTGTTAAGTAAAGAAGGCGTCTAAGTAGGTGACAGAATGGCCTCAGTGACCCAAACATGTAAAAGTTTTAGCCGTTTTCGACGATACATTCCTTATCTGTGTATCTCTGTGCCATATTTTGTCTCAAAATTTCTAAATTTACTTTAACGTGTTCTTTTGCCGGGCTCCTTTACTCATCTTTGGGTCATTAAACGGATTGCTAATGTGCCTCAAGAAGTACTCCAACTTCTATCATATCCTCGCATTTTCCAACATCACATTAACTAATCCTAACCGCTTTTGTTCAGTTGCCTTTGAATATGTGACATACACCTTTCATTGCATAACTGTTCGACACAAAACGCAAATGCTTAGTCGCTTTCCCGCTAGC